AAATGTGTCTTAGAAGAAGTACAGCCAGAATGTGCCTTACAAGGCAAGAATGGTGTGACTTTGTTTTACTTATATGGATATGTTATCAGGAGGGACCAGTCCCTAGAGAAGGACACCATGCTTGGTAAAGTAGTAGTAGTTGTTGTTATGTGCCATCGAGTCAGACCCGACTCATAGCGACCCTTCCATGGGTTTCCCGAGGCAGTATCACTACGGAAGTAGATTGCCCAACCTTCCTTCCGAGGACTGGCTGTTGAGTTTGAACCGCCAGGCTTCTGGTTAGCAGTCAAGTGCCTTAGGCGCTATGCTACCAGAGCTCCCCTGTTAAAGTAGAGGGTCAGGGAAAAAGAGGAAGACCCTCAAGGAGATGGACTGACACAGTGGCTGCAACAAGGGCCTCTAAAAACACAGTAATGATTGTGAGGCTGGCGCAGGACCAGGCAGTGTTTTGTTCTGAGGTCGCTATGAGTCAGAGCTGACTGGATGGCACCTAACAACAACAGGAATATGGTTAACCTGGGGGCATGATGAAGATGAGAGACGGGAAGGGAGGAAAGCGAAGGTCTGATAACAGCTGTCAGGCCTTGACGGCTGGCTCTGGGCTAGCCAGGGAACACTCTACCATGAGATCCATGCTATCTGTATTTCTATTTTGCAGAAGAGAAGATGGAGGCACAGGAAGTACCTTGCCTGAGCTTCTCAAGCTAGGTAGTGAGGTAGGCTGGCCTAGAAGTCCGACTGAATTGGGCCCTAAGCCTGCCTGTGATTGGATTCTTGGCCTTTTGCGCTGAGCTGTGACAGTTTCCCCTCAGAATCACCCAGCTCTGTCCCATCTCCAGCCCTTTGGGCACACTGTCCATCCTACCTGCAGTTCTGTTGGCTGGCCTCTTTCTTGGTTCCCCTCCTCTTCCTCCTTTAGATTCTCAGCTGGACCACCACCCTGACCCTCTGTTTTATAGCCTCATTTACACTGTATTTTTCCTTCTCAGGATTTCTCAAAATCTTAATTCAAAAATTATTTGTGTGCCCTTTATTAAGATTCAGTCTCTCCGACTATAGAACAAGCTCTAGCAGGGAGTGACTGTGGTCCTTCTTATATAATGTTGTACCCTTAGTGCTTGGCACACAGTAGGCACACAATCAATAAATCCATGTTTAATAAGCAAACAGAAGAACAAATTCGTTTCCTGGGGTTAACTACCCCTCTCCCAAATGACTGTTTCCTATTGGGAGATTGCCGTTCCCCCCTAGCATAGAGTATAACTTTCAAGTAATAAAACTATAAACAAAAACCACTAATTCTAGATTGTATATAAAGAGCCCTAATGGCAAAATGGTTAAGTTCTTGGCTGCTAACCTGAAGGATAGCTGTTCTAACTCACTGAGACTTTCCATGGGAGAAAAGACTTGGAGGTCTTTTCCTGTGAAAATCTCAGCCTAGGAATCCCTGTAAGGCAGTTCTACTCTGTCCTATAGAGTTGCTTTGAGTTGGGATCAATTCAGTGGCACACAGCAACAACAGATTGTATATATTCAAGTTGACTGTTGCCATCTAAAGGAGCTGTGGTGGTGCAGTGGTTAAGGCATTTGGCTGCTAGCCAAAAGGTGGGTGGTTCAAAACTACCAGCCGCTCCATGGGAGAAAGAAGAGGTAGTCTGCTTCTGTAAAGATTACAGCCTTGGAAACCTAATAGGGGTTGCTATGAGTTGGAATTGACTTGATGGCAGTGAGTTTGAGTTTGTTGCCACCTAAAGTGTGTGTGTGTGTGTGTGTGTGTAGGGGAAGGAGGTGGTCATTTGGCCACTTACTGCAAAGCACCTATTGAACAAGTCTGGGATTTTCTTTAGGGATACTAGTTTAGAGGCCACAAAAGGAACCGTAATTGATTTTACTTTATTGCCCTACCTTGTTTTTGTCACCCACATTCACCAGACTACTTTGAATGCTTGCTGCCTCTTTTTAGAAACCCCAGAAGAGGCTTCACTTGCTGTGTGTTTGGGGACATCGCCTCAGGCAGCATCCAGAAATGGTTGGGGAAAGGCAGCATCTTGACTAGAGGTACCCTCTCCTCCTGTGAAGTTACCACTTTGAAGGAAGATGGCCACTTGTGTGAGCAAGGTCTTATTTGTTTTCAGAAACATCAATTTTTATTTCCTCTTGCCTAACCAGAAGGCTGCCGGTTCAAACCCACCAGCCACTCCTCAGAAGGAAGGTTGGGCAATCTATTTCCGCAGAGATACCACCTGGGAAACCCAAGGAGGGGTCGCTATGAGTCGGGGCCAACTCAGCGGCACACAACAACAACATTATTATGTTAGTTCCTTACTGGTTACAAAAATGTCCCCACCACCCCTCTGAGCCAGGGGCAGGTGGGGGTGGGGTGGGGGGGGTTCCCTTTGCCGGTGAGGAAAGCAAGTCCAAACAAAGGGGAGTTTTCTCACAGGTGGCGCTCCAGACCCCCGGGTTCCCTGCTGGAAGAGATAGCTGGGGTACAACCACTCCCTGACAATGACTTCTTTCTGGTCCAAGGTCATTTGGACCCAGCTGCTAACCCTGACTTCACCTGGTGTCCCTGAGAACCTTGCAGCCTGAGTTGGGGGATGGGGGTGGGGGCTGATACTAGCAGCTTTTTGTTGCCGTGGAATTTTCCTTCAAGCAACACTTTTCTGGAAGGAGTTAAAATGAATCAAGCTTCAGAGAAGGAGGGTTGGGCCTAGGCTGGGATGAGGTTGAGCTCTCTGCGTTCTGCCTGAGACCCCAGCTAGGCTTGGAGGGTGGTGGTGGTGGTGGTGGTGGCGGCGGCGGCGGCGGAGATTGAGCTTTGCAACGTGAACGCGCGTGATGGTGACGCGTGGGAAGGGGTCAAAAAAACTTTGCGCACTTTTCTAAAAGCCCAGTCGGTGAGGATTAGTTTGCCATGGGTCCTCGTCCTCCTCCCATCCTGTCGCCCCCACCTCGGGCCTCCGGGCTTACTGCAGCTCTCTGAGGGTGGGAAAAGCACCGCGGGTACCCAACCAGCCCTCTCCACCCCGTGACCCCCTCCTTTCCTCCAGCACTCCGCTTTCTCACTTCACTTCTTTTGTCAGCTACCCTTTCTCCAGGCTCCCGGCAGGGCTTGGTCCACAGTCTCCAGCCTCCCGGAGAGCCTGGGCAGGCAAGCCAGGGGCTGGTCTCCGCCCCCTCCCCCGTGGAGAAGGAGCCCGCCGCCGGGGCACCCCGGAGCCGAGGCCAATCGCCCCCCTTCCCCAGCGTGTGCCATCTGCCGCCTGTCAGCCTCTCTCCGCCGGCCTCGATCCCAGGCGCCGGTTGGGGGGGGTGAGCGACTGATTCGGGCCCCAGCTTCCAGGCTTCTTCTCAGGCGCCACGCGGCCTCTAGCCTTGCCTCGCTCCCTCTCCGCTTAGCCTTGGGCTGCGGGGGGTGGGGTGGGGTGGGGTGGAGAGGAGGGTGGCTCTCAGTTCCTCCGGGAAAACCAAGATGCTGGACACTGGACACTCTCAGACCTACTAGCTGGGGAGGGCGGTGACCCAGGGAGTGTCAGGCCTAACCCAGGAAGGGGGCCGCATTCAGGGTCTGTGTCCCAAGGAGGGGATGTCTCTGTCCTGGTCCATGCCCCTCTGGGGATTCTCACTCTCTGTCTCCCAGCGTCTGGCTCAGCGTCGCATTTCGCCGGTCGCCCGCACTCTACATCGGAGGCAGCTGTGGGGCCGCGCGCACGGGCTCCCGCTGCCTCAGGCCTTTCTCCCCACCCGCCGGCTCGCGTGCTCTAGCCGCGAGGGTGTAGAGATGCGAGGGTAGCATCTACTCAGGCAGTAAGCCCAGCACGGGGTCGAAGCTTGGAGTCCAGGAGAGGCGAGCAGGGCCAGAAGAGATGGCGAAGCTAGCCAAGGGGGGCGCGGGCTGAGCTGGCAGGCGGGCTAGGGAACCGCGGGGCGCGGGCGCCGCTGCAAGGCCGACCCCGACGCTGCTCTCTGCGGGCAGCGGGCTTTTCGTGAAAGGTTGCCCAGGGTAACTTGTTTCCGAGGGGACACAGCCCTCCCCTCTCCAAGTGGCAACTTATCGATCCGCGAGATTGATAACCCCCAGCGCCGCACCGCGCACCAGCTCCGCTCTCCGGGCTCTGGTGCACGCCGGGTTGAGGTGGCGCCACTTGCCCCGGAGGGGGGCGATGTCGCGGCCTCTCCCCACCCGGGACTTGGGGCCGCCTGTAGCTGGTGAGGGAGGGGGAGACTTCAAAGTTAGAGTAGGGCAGCTGCTGGGAGATATTCCTACATCCGAGCCCTTCCAGGGCCTGCTCAGAGACCCAAGCCTCAACTGACTGGTTCGAGAGCTGCGGGAATACGAGGCGCCCCCTGGTGGCTGGGGCAAAACTTTGTAGAAAGTAGGAGCTGGTTTATTGTTTTTTTGTGGGAGGGAGTGCTATAGCGTTTTGGGTGTAAGGTGTTTCTCTTTTAGTCATAGTTAAAGAGTGCTCAGCCAGGAGCGGGAACCCTACATATGTGAATGTGGAGGCGCCCAGGGTTAGCCCAGTGGTGGAAGAGTTTGTGGATGTGGGGCAGGAATGGTTTTCAGACACCGACCAGGTGGGCAAAAACCAACTAAGAGAGAAAAGCTAGGCTATAGGGTATAATTCGTGTGCGTGGGGCACATACTGCGGGCGTGGCAGTGCCAGGGCAGTTCACTCCAGTTTGCCCCCATTCTCTCACTTTTTACAGTTTGTGGTGCTAGTGTAGCTTGGCGAGGCTGTGCTCCGCAGCTTGACAGCCCGCGCGGGCCTTGTGCCTGTTCCCTCCTCCCGCCCCCGATGCCTCCAGCGCTGGGGCCGCGGGCCCGCATGCCGGTGCGGTGCCCACGCCCGCGCGGTGCCTGCCGCTGCCGCTGCCGCCGCGGTCCGGGTTTTGCGGGCGGCCGGAGCTGTATTTCCAGCGCTGTCCATCGCTCGGTGCTGTTGGCCCTCTCTCCGTCTGATCCGAGCCGGAGCAGTGCGGGGCGCCCCACGGGATCAGAGCGCTCCCCCGCCGGGACTCCGCTCCTCACATCCTCCTGCTGGGACCCGGCTACATTTCCAGCCAAGCCTGGCTTTATTATGTGTCTCTGCAGTGCAGCCCCAGCAGCCGGATCGGGAGGAGGAGAGCCAGCGACCACAAAGAAGACAGGAGCGCGAGGGAGGCTGGCGGGCGGGCCGGCGCCGGCTGGAGCGCGGAGGAGCCGGGGCGCAGCCGCCGCCGCCGCTGCCCGGGAGGACGGGAGCCCGGCCGCCGCCGCCGCCGCCTGTTCGTCCTCCTCCTCCTCCGCCGCCGCGGCCTCTGACTCCCCACTCTCCGAGCCCCTGGCCCATGGAGGCAGCTAGCGGAGCGGGCGACTTGGCACCGGCCTGGGGATCGGCTGCGCGCCGCGCGCTGAGCACCGCAGCCCGAGGGCAGGCAACGGCGGCCCGGCGCACGGGCTGAGCGATGCTCGGGGCACGGGTGCGCCTGCCTGCCGCCGCCTGAGCGCCCCCGCGCGCCCCTTCCTCCTCTGGGGGCCGGCGTCGGACCCAGCCGAGAGCCAGAGAAGGGGGCGTGAGCCAGGAGCCCCGAGCCGCGGTTTCCGAGCCACTGCGGTCGTTTCGAGCCCTCCCCCCTACAAGTAGGCTGAATTGAGGGAGCCCCCTCCCCACCCATCATAATTTCCAAACCAGGCGTTTGGGCATTTTTGAGCCATTAATATTTATTGGTATCTTTTTTTTTTTTTTTAGTGCGACAGGGGATTATTTGAAGGCTTTTTTTCCCCCCGAGGGGTTCTGAGATCCCGCACCCCTGACCGCTTCCCGGTCTCTCCCCCCACCCCGAGACTCCCTCGACTCCAGCCCCGTTCCCCCTCCTCAGATGGGCTCATTGTGAGCTCCGCACCGGGCTGCGTGGCCGGACGCCTGCAAACTTTGCACAAAAATCCGGCAAGGGGCGGAGGAGGAGGAGAAGGAGGAGGAGGGTGAGGGTGGCGGTGGGGTGGGGGAGGGAGGGAGGGGGCCGCAGGGGCCGGGGGCCGGCGGAGGGGGGGGAGGAGGAGGGGGGCGGCTTTTTTTGCATAACTCGGCTCGGCCGAGTGGCCTCCGGACTACCCGCGCCGCTGGGACCGCTGCTGGGACCCGGAGCCCCCGGCTGCCGCATTGCAACAGGCTGGGCCCCAGCGCGCCCCCCGAGCCTCCCTCCGCCCCCGAGCGGCCTCGGCCGGCCCGGGCCGCCCCCACCCCCCCAGGCGGCCGCCCCGGACCTGCGATCCGCACCCCAGAGCCGCCGACCCGGCTGCAAAAAAAAAAAAAGTTTCCTAGAGGCAGGCGGAGGAGAAGGGGGAGAAAGGCTGCCCACAGCGGCAGGGGGCGGCGGGGGGAGCCGGCCGCGGAGGGCGACGGAGCGCCCGGAGCCCCGGACATGTCCAGGCGGAAGCAGGCGAAGCCGCGCTCGGTGAAAGGTGAGCGAGCGAGGCCCGGCGGAGGCGCGAGCGAGCGAGGAGGGAGGGAGCAAGGGAGGAGGGACTGGCGAGCGGGCGGGCGGGCGGCTAGGGACCGGCGCGAGCCGAGAGGAGGAGGAGGAGGAGGAGGCGGCGGCGGAGGAGGCGGAGGCGGAGGAGGAGGAAGAGGAGGGGGAGGAGGAAGCCAAGAGCGGGTGGCGGAGGGGGCACGCCACGAACACCCTGTCCGCCGGGACCCTCTCTCGGCCTGGCGTCGCCGCCTGCGGGGTGTCTGGACTGGGGGCGCCGCTGAGGGGCCCTCGCCGCTCCCTTCGTGCGGGTCCCAGACCCGCGTGGCCAATCAAGGGGTGCGGGCCCGACTTGGCGGGGATTGCGAATCTCGGCGGCGGGCAGGCGGCGAGAGGAAGGAAGAGGCGGCGAGGCCGGGCGCCCGGGAGGCCGGCAGCGCCAAGGCTGCCCCTCGCTGGGCCCCGGGCCTCGCCAGCCTTTCCCGTCCCCCGCCTTGTCGCCCCGCGACGCCAAGGGCGGCGGGCGCTGCCTGAACGCGCCCTAGGCGCAGCGCCCCCGCCCTGGCCGCTGGGCGCCCACTCCCTGCCCCCTGCCCCGGCCGCACTCCCGGCTTGGGCCCCCGCACTTCCTGCTTCTTCCACCGAGGCCAACCGGGCCGGGTGCCTCCGCCAGGAGTTCATTGTCTGCGTCGTGCCTGCGGGACGCAGGTCCCCGGGGGAGCGTAGCGGCCAACGTGCGCGCCCCGCCGTGGAGAACGCCCTCGACTCGACCCCGGGCACCTCCACCCGCGACACTCCGGCCAGCTTCCTGTGTCAGGTCCCTGGGGTGCGGACGTTAGTGGGGATGTCTGTGTGTGTGTGTGTGCGCGCGCGCGCACACGCACACACACACGCACAAACGCGCATCCCTTCATTTCATGTTTTTCTATTTCCATCGTGGACCCCCGGCTCGAAGTTTTCCCTGGAGAGTAGAGGCCCCGCGGAGAGCCCGCTCGCGGGCGCTGAGCCTCTCCCCTGCCCTGTTCTCCCCACCCACTGGCCTCTCCAGCCTGCTGCACTTTGTCCCTATTCCCGTGCCTAGGATGGGTGCGCTGCTGCTCGGCCGCTCAGGGGAAACAGAGGATGGACAAGATGAGAGCCGCTATGTCTTTGGAGGCAAGAGTCCCGAGGCCCTTGTCCTCTCCCAACTCCCCTGGTGACCCCTGGCCTGAGCCCAGTGCTGGTCTGAAAAGTTCATTTCCTGGAGGCCTGCTCGGGAAGGCGCTAGGGCCCCGCTCCCTTCCTGCCAGCCTTGCTCCTGGCTGGAATAGCTGGGACGGAATCTGGCAATCTGGCGAGGGTCGACTGACACCAGCCATCTCTCGCCTTCTGAAGCCCAAGAGAGCTAGGCTCACCTGGCTTAGCAGACACTCTGCCTGTCATCTCAGAAGAAGCAGGCCAACTCAGTTCAAAGTCTTAGCAGTTGGGCTGCCCCCTCTTCCTTTTTTCCTTGAGAGAAGTTGATCTTGCTCCATTCAGCCTGGAGGGCGTCCCAGCCGGGGGTAGCCTAGCCTGTGCCAGAGAACTGGGGTCTCAGAGAGTGTTCTGGTAGAGGGCCCCCTAGAAGGGGACAGGGAAGAAAGATTCTGCAGCTTTAAATAATATTTGATTGTTTTTTTTTTAACCTCTTTCTGCTCCCTGCTCCCTGCTCCCTGCTTGCTCCTTCTAGAGCCACTTAAGCCAGCCCAGAAGAAAATGTACAACTGAGATCTCTGGTTGGAAAACTAGTTTTATTTACATTGGGCAGTTGATTTTGAGTTAGAGCTACTTACTTATTGGAGCAGATTTTTTTCATGAAAGAAAACGCAAAACTTGGTTTACCTATATCATCCACACCTCCAAACCTCCTCGTTTTGGAAGGTGAGACAAAAAGGTAGAACAGTCTGCAGTAAACAGATGGGTGGGTGTTTTGGAGTTGCTTGAATTTAATTCTAAAACCACTCTGGGTGGCTCTGAGAAAGATTCAAGAGTTAGTCTTCAGCTTTTCATGAAATGAGCCTTGAAATGATTTTTAAGAGGGTCTGTATGTATATGCGTGTGTATCTTGTAGCAGACAATTCCAGCTAATTGATGGGAAAGATAGGAAAGTGGGAACGAGATCAGTGAAGACATTCTTAAGTATGAACCACAAGGAGTCTTTCTGTCCTTGGAACCTGGGACCTCCTGTTTTTCCCTGTGGCTCTCTGCTTTTTCCAAAAGCAGCTACAACCCTGCTCTCTCTCCAATTCGCCTTTTATTCACTTTCCTGGGGGGTGAATAGTGTGGCCACTTATCAAGGGAAGAATTAAGAGAGAAGATCATTTGAATAGATAAGAGTTACGGCAGGTGATGGATTTATTGCTTTCAAGAATTGCCCCCCCTTCTCCCAAGCAATATTAAAAAGTGTGTGCTTGAGTGTGGACAGCTTCACACTAAATGTTTAAAATGACAAGGTCCTTCACCTTTAAAGATGCTTCAAGGTGCTTCTTAAGAAACAGCGGGTCCTTTTACATTTTATTTTATTTTGTTTCGCCTCCACTGCTGTGAGTCAGGGCTAATGTAGAGGCATTGTGGACTTCCACAGTCCCGCGCATTCTGCTGTGAAAGTCGCTTGACTGTAATTCGTAATTGATCTCGGAAATGTGAGAGCCCATAGCAGGAAGGAAAGACAGAAATATAACAATTTCTAATGGATGCTTAGAAAGTGTTATTTGAAAGCATGGGCATTGCTGCTTTGAAAATCAAACAGGCCTCCAAGGGGGGTCTCACTTCCCCCTCATGGACACAACCATCCTTCTGGAGTGGGGTCACCTGTCCCCTCGTGATGTTTGTCCTTCTTTGAAAAACCTAGCTGTGAGGACACCCAGCAAATAGGGAAGGGGGCCGGGGCAGTAGGGCAGGGATTTTCAAAAGCCTTGTGATTTTGTCAAAAAAGGCACCCATGAATGTGACAAAAGTCATATTTTCTGGCCGATTTTCCCTCTCCAAGCCTGTCTCCCCTTTTTTGTTTCCTCGTGGTGTGGTGTGGCAGTTGCAATGATTTGCTCCCTTTGACAATTTTGGCCTCATTATCTGAGGCTGTTCTCATCATGCCTCACTGATGCTATTTCGGCCGACGATACCAAGCGCTTTGGTACCGATTACCTTGGCAGTTCTTGCTGCCACTCAACGGTAAGATAATCTGTCTCCCTTCATCCCTACCACTTTCTCAGATCCACAGAACAGCCTGGTAATTTACACAGAAAATTAATACACCTTTTTTTTCCCCCGTCTCATCTTGAAACTTTTGAATATTTGTCATACTGTTGGTTTTCTTCATCCAGTAGCAGCCCGTTAATTACAGTTCTTAGTATTAATTAGCGCTCAGGCTGGGTCCGTGCATCCCCCCAATACCCAAAACTCTCCCCCAGTGACTTCACCACCCCCTTCCCCTCTTTGTCTTCCTCTCCTGCCAGCCTGTAGCTCCTCAAAAGTCCATCTTATACATTTGGTGGCCCAGGGACTTGGGAACAATGTGGTTCGACACTGCTCGTGTTTCCACAAGAATAATTGAGATGTAATAAGTAGAGGCATTCTGAGGTTACAGGTTTCTTGATTCAGCTGAGACCACATACAAGTGTAAATTGCCTAGATTTGTTTGGCTAAATGTACATGATCCTGTAGGAAGGGCAAAACAAATCCTTTATAGCTTCTTTAGCTTTCTATGTGGATCAGGGCAGCTAACATATATTCCTAATATTTAACACCCTCACTCCCAATTAAGGCACTGATTCTTGGCTTAGGAAGGGCCTATTTCATCCTAGAAAGCATCCTTTATGTCTAGTAATTGCTGTTTATATTCTTACACCTGTTTCCTTGCAAAAACTTAATAAGCAATAAAATAAGATAACTATGTGCCTTTGGCAGGAGAATCCTGCTAAACGTTTAACCATAAGGTGCCTAGTGTGCATTAATAATGGAAGGTGCAAAATGCCGGTGACTTTACAGTCATAAAGTAATTCAGGAGGACCAGCCAGCCCTGGCAGTGTTGTGGCATGCTACAGCGTGTTAACAGAAGAGGAGGAGGAGGGAGAATCAAGGGAAAGAGGAAACTGGAGCGCAGCATCTTTGAGTAGAGCGTTCCTAGCTGGAGATGGAAGGCTAGGGATCTGGTTCAATCTAATAGAAAGTTGCAATAATTGCTATATCGGTAGCCAACTCTTAAGCTGGTGGCTGTGGAATTCTTCCCCTGATGTAGGATTTAATAGTCCGGCAATTAGATGCATTGATTTCTCTTAACTGTTCATTTGGATGTGTAAACGAAAAGAATCCACCACTGAGGCTGATGGTGCAGATAGGCTGCCTGGCTCTTTGAAAAGGCTAATTTAGGCTGCTGGCGAAGGGAGAGTGTGCTTCTTCAAGGCAGTGTGGGGCCAGTTCCCTCCTTACATTTCTGCCCGTATTGCGGTGAAATGTACCTGTTGTTCAAATGCTGTTTAAAAATAAACACTGGTGTGGGCCGTTACCGGCTGAAGAGTCACACTGTCCTTTTCTGCTGCAGTGGAACATCTCTGTTTTTGAGTGACTGGACTCAGTTGCATATTTTGGCAGATGGTCTGTTGCGTACCAGAGGGACAAGTCACAAAACACCTCAGGCTCTGAGTTCCAGAGGGACTCCCCTGCTGGAGATGGAGTGAGTTTTTTTTTTTTCTCTCTCTCTCTACTCCTCGACCGTAGTCTGGGGTTTGAGACCACCTACACCAGTGGCTCTGTCAAGCCCTGAAGAGGTGCAGGGGCATGGCGTCTTGAACCCCTTAGAAGGCTGGTGGGCTGTGCGACTTCAGTGGCTTGCAGAGTGTGTAGATAATGAACTCTTGCGAACATGAGCTCCTCTCACTCCCTGCTCCTGGACCTGCAGTGTTCCGTAAGTTTGTCAAACTTCTGATGCATGGGCATCTGAAACTCTTGATAGTTAAGCAAGCAGAGGATGGCTACATTTCCTGATGGCTCTGTCTTTTGCCAAGGTGGATGGGTGGGTTTAGTTAGAACTCTTTTGTTTGGCAGAGGTTAAGATGAATTTAAAAGGAGACCTTGTGGTGCGATGTTTAAGCACTCAGCTGCTAACTGGAAGGTTGGCAGTTCAAACTAGTGCAGCTGCTATAAAACCCTATGGGGCAGTTCTGGTCTATCACATGTGGTCTCTCTGAGTTGAAAATGCGCTCGACGGCACCTAGCAACAACAAAATGGACTTGCATTTCCCCTGGACCCTGGCTGAAAAAAGCCTAGCCTTGCCCATGGTACACTTGTGTTTGCACTAGGTATCAGAGTGCCTTCCGATCTGTGCGTCTAGGATAATTACAGCAGAAGAATATCTTAAACAGTTCGTGGGCTCCCCAGGACTCTGGATAGCTGGAGAAAACCCCAGATACACCTTGGTTGGCGTCTTTGACAATATCTGCAAATTCCCGTCAGCTTGCAAAGGTATTTTGTGCACAGACATGTTAGTAGGTAATCAGAGTAGTTTTGCACTCAAAATGGATTAATTAAGCCCGAATTGGTTATATTCTGCTTGGAGTTTTCGGTGCTGGCTGTCAGCTCCCTCAGCCTCTGGTGGAAGAGGCAGGATGAATTGGAGCGAGGGAAATGCTGATAAGAAACTTTTGATTCATAGCCTACCTGGCGGGATCAGTGGCAGCCAACGATTGGGGTTGTACACTCAGTAAATAAAAATACCTTACCTCTTTCAAGGAGCACCAATTAGCTGATTGCTCCGTGTGGCTGTCTTTAAGAACGACTATTTTACCTATCTT